TTCTGTGTCAGAATATTTTGTTTAAGCTCTTTAAAAAAGCAAATTGTGAAGAGTTTTTAAATTTAGGAAAGTTAAAACAAAAGTAGGTATGGGCATGGTCTCTAGCGTAAAACAAAATGGTATATATTATGCTATTAGTCCTAAGGCCAAAGGATAGCTTAAGACCTATTTGATTAACACAATATCGTAAGGATTAGGAAATAATATGAGTCATAGTGTTTGTTCAATAGATGGTATTAAGACAACCAGGAAGCTAGGCTGGAAAAATTTTAAGTTGAATCTGTAACTCACATCCTGGTATGCCAGGGATATATTCCAAATAGATCAAAGGTTTTGTTTTTTTGTGTTTTTTTCTTAAGGATTTTATTTATTTATTTGACAGGAGAGAGACACAATGAGAGAGGGAATACAAGCAGGGGGAGTGGGAGAGGGAGAAGCAGGCTTCCCACTGAGCAGGGAGCCCGATGCAGGGCTTGATCCCAGGACGCCGGGATCATGACCTGAGCCGAAGGCAGACACTTAACGACTGGGGCACCCAGGCGCCCCTAGATCAAAGGTTTTAATGTGAAAAAAAAAAAGCCATTAAAATACTACAATAAATCCTAGGAGAATTATAACCTTGGCAGGGGAGTGAATATATAAAATTCAGAAGCCTTAAAAAATTCTAATTACATAAAAATGCAAAATTTCTGTGTAGTAAAAATGACCATAAGTAAAGACAAATGACAGTTCATATCATACTTTTGATTCTAATTTTCCTAATATAGATAGGATTTCTACAAGTTGATTTTTAAAAATAGGACAAAATTAGATCACAAAGAAGATACAAACACCTCTTAATTTGAATAAATCAACTTCATTTAAGAGAAATGGACATGGAAATTACAGTATCAAACCATTTTTATCTTGGGGCGCTTGGGTGGCTCAGTCATTAAGCGTCTGCCTTCGGCTCAGGTCATGGTCCCAGGGTCCTGGGATAGAGCCCCACGTTGGGCTCCCTGCTCAGCGGGAAGCCTGCTTCTTCCTCTCCCACTCTCCCTGCTTGTGCTCTCTCTCTCGCTGTCTCTCTCTCTCTCTGTCAAAATACATAAATAAAATCTTTAAAAAAATTTTTTTTTATCTTTTAGAATGAAAAGAATTAGCACAACTTTTGCTTTGTTTTCAACCTTTTTTGACTGTGACTGAGAGTAAGAATTTCTTTTTACACTGTAACCCAGTACACTCACACATATAAAACCAAAACAACTTTCACAAGAGTACTTACCATTATTACATGATGTACTGATATTTCCTATTTTTCTCTTTTCTCTCTGTTTTGTTTTCTGATGCTGATCGTAAGCCACTAAAAATATTTCTCCAGGTTGCTAGGAGAGAAATCTACAGTTTGGAAAACAGTCCTCCATTGAATATATATTGGCAATGTTTAGGATACTTCTGGTGCCCCACCTCATATCCTCTTGGCCAATGTGTGAACTCCAGCCATTGCTGCAGGATCCAGCTGCATATGTGTGCAATCCAACAGCAATTTCCCTCAGCCACATCAAACATATTTCTCATTTTCTGTCCTAAGTCTTCACTATCACTCTACACAAGGTCCCTACAACTCAGTAATTCTGACACCTAGGCAAACCTGGGAGTAGAAGGAAGTTAACATCCCAGGGGATAAGCCTTGATTAATGGGAGATGGGAGCCAGTGGTTAAATGTTTCCCTGTTTTGTCCCTAGGGCAGAATAAATCAAAGTGCATTCTCTGTGGCTTTTCAAAGGGTCCCCGGCAAGATTGAGCCCCAGTTGCCTCTAATAGTGAATGCTATATCAGTGCTTGTCAAACTTTAATATATACACAAAACACTTCAAGATCTTGGTTACATGTAGATTCTAATTCAGTAAGTCAGAGGTGGAGCCTGAGATTCTATGTTTCTAACAAGCTCTGGGTGATGCAGATTGTGTGGCTCATAGTAGTAAGGAGCTAGATGAGCACTGGGTGTTATAGGTAACTAATGAATCATTGAACACTACATCAAAAACTAATTCTACTCCTGAAAGTAATATTACACTATATGTTAATTAACTAGAATTTAAATAAAAACTTGAAACAAACAAAAAAAAACTAATGATGTATTATACAGTGGCTAACTGAACATAATTAAAAAAAAAAGAAAATGTGATACTTAGGTATTGGTAAAATTATATATCTGTAAAAAATAAAATGACCAAATATGAAAAAATATAAATAAATAAAACCTTAACCCACAGTAAGAAATATATTTTACATTGTGATCTGATACACACATACACATTGTGTGTGTGTCTATCAGTTTGAAATAAAAGTTTCATGGAATAAACCTTAAAAAAAAAAGAAAGAAAACATACCCTTCCATTGGCTTTCCCTCCTTCCCTGTTTCACTTCCCTAATGCCCTCAGATTCTCTTGGGATCACTTCCCAAAATAAATAATCTTCATACAAGCCTGTTTCTCAGGCTTGGGGTTTAGGCAGAACCCAAGCTAAGACAGGTAGTAATGACCCAGCAATTCTGTTTCTAGGAATTTATTCTATAGAAATGTTCCCATATGTATGAAATAATTTTATTTACATGATCTTTCATTACAACATTGTAACAGCAAAAAATCAGAAACAATGCAAATATAAGCGGAGGGTTGGTTGAATGATTTATCCATATTGTGGGCTATTATGTAGCTGTTAAAACAATAACAAGGCTCTTTATATTCAGATAAGAAAAATATTTAAGTTGTACTCTAAGTATAAAGGTCGAGTATAGAGTATCATTCATATTAATTCCTCCATTTGAGTAAAATAAAGGCAATGTTACATATATTTCTTGTGTGTGTATGTATGAAATAACTCTGGAAAGATATAGAAAATAAATAATATTGATTGGGAGGAGGGAAAATGGGTGGCTTAGTACTACCCTTTATATATTGTTGAAGTTTGGAGCATATGTTATGTTAACTGTTGGATTAAAATTTTATGTGTTTGGTCTAGAAATGTATTACATTTTCTTCCTCCTTTGAACCTCAACCTTCTTTGAACTCTAACATTTAATGTTATGTCTTCAGATCAGTATTGGAATAAGATCACATACCACCTATGTTATCATTTATGTCCAAATTTAGTTTTCCAACAGATTCCAACATAAATTACTACTATACTTTATATCTGTATTTTTTTTAAAATTGTCATAGCACATAACATTATGTGTGTAGTCAGCACTTTGTAGATACCTGCCAAGTTTATTTGAATAACCTACATTTGGCTTCACCACCAGAACAGTCCCTATAGTAGAGCAAATTGAGCTTATTGCCTAAAAGCACAGTTACTCAGGATGTCACCAGAGGAGGAAAGGGTTTTGGTACCAAAAAAAAATAAAACATAAAAGGAATTATAGCAATGTATGATATTTTTACTCTAATAAAGTAAGGGAACTATATAATACATTTTAAAAGAATTCTTGGTAAGTGGGTAAAATGTTAAAAGTTTTGTTGTTCAAGGATTAAACTTAATTCAGCTTAGGAATTCACATATAGACTCTCACCCTCTGATGATGCTAAGAAATGAACAAATATTTGAGGGTCTACTATGACTCAATTCTGTACTAGGCCCTGGGGATATAGTGGTGAGCCAAAACAGACATGGTTTCACGCTCAGTAAACATAAAGCCTAGTGAGAGAGACAAATATTAATCAAGTAGTTGTGTTCATGATCGAATAATTACAAATGAATCAAGTACTCTAAAGAAAAGGGACAGGTTCTCTGATGACACGTATAAAAGGGATCTGATGTAGGGCTAGAGATCAGGGAAGATAGAGTTTGAGTTGAGATCTGAAACATACAAAGGGTGTGCAAAGTTTACATCATGCAGCCTATGTTAAGGATTTCAGTCTGTCACTTCCAGATTTATCAGTTATCTATTGCTCTTTAACAGACTATCCCAAAACTAACTGACTTAAAACTACAGTTTATTATTTCTCATAATTTTACGGGTTGACCGGATTATTCTTCTACTGATTCTTCTTGAGTTCTGTCCTGCAGCTGCTTTCAGCTGGTGGCTAAGTTGGAGCTTGGGTTCCCACTCTATGTGCTCTTTCTTACCCAGCTCCTTCATGGCTTTGTGGTCCCAGAATTGCAAAAGCATAAAGACAGAAGCTGCAGGGCTTCTTGAGACCTTGGCTCTGGAACTTGCACAGTACCACTATTTCTGTAAGCAAGTGAAAAGGCCAATTTAGATTCAAGGGATGAGTAAATAAATTCCAACTCTCAATGGATGGAGCTACAAAGAATTTGTGGCCATGTTTTTCAATCTGCTACTATCTATTGGATAACTATTTACTCATTAAACAGTTATTTACTAAGCATTGTTTCAAGAACTAGAAATCAAATATGAATAAGATAAAGTAATATATACGTTGCCATTTTTTCCTTTCCCTTGCAGCACATGGTATTTGTAAATTGTCATTCTGCCTTCCATAGAGATCAGTATTCATGAGTATTTTTTTCCTGTGGTATAAAAATGAATCATCTATAAAGAGTCTTACCTAATTAGAGAGGAGGAAGAAAATCATTGGAGAATATAAGTAATTTTTAACCTTTCTAAATTTGTAATAAAGTACATGTATTTTATAGTCAGAAAAGAATTAAGGTTATGTCAGTGTAGCCATATAGTTATGAATGATATCTATAAGCACAAAAACTAATTCAGTAGTGAAAATCTCAGAGAGGTCAAGTTTTTCTTTGTAGTTATATTATACCTCTGTTCTCAGGTTTTTTAGAGGTGGTTTGTTCCCAGCTCAAATTTTGCCCTTTTGGATAATTCTGAATGAACAAATAAATACTATAAGTAAGGACAAAGACATTAGCTACCTGGAATTTGGGGGGTTTTTTTGCAGGAAACATCATAAGAAAACAAAAGTATTTTATTTACTTAGAAAGTTATATATGAATAGTAATTAACTTTTTTTTCCAATTTTTTTTGAAATTATAAGAATGATAAGAATGCTGCTTTTCTTCTGATGGAAAGTGACAGGCTAATCATCAGCTTACCCAGAGTGAAGTGGACAGAAGTAGCACTGACTATGGCATCTCAGCTGCAAGAAGAATGTATTGCATTTATTATAGAAAACTTCTCCAAGATCATTCAAAGTGAAAATTTTGCTCTTCTCTTACAGGTACTATGTCTAAAATTATATCCTATATTTAGCCCCATCTTTGTATTCTGGTTACCATTATGTAAGAGTTTTCAAACGCAGGTTGCCTTTGATTAAATTAGTGTGACTTAAATAAATTCCATAGCAGATGGCACGCTTGCATAGGATTTAGAGCAGTGATGGACAGGATTTTTGGCTCACAAGATAATGAAGGCAGGAGGGGGCAGGTATGAATGCACTGGCAAGGCATAATGTAACTCTGGCCAACAGTAGCTCTCAATCAGCATAAGCCATATTTTAGAAACCAGTCATAAAGATACTGTTCTGTCAGTAATACAGTTATGGTCCATGCAAAATTCTCGGTCTTATTGGGGATCCACTTGTTGTAAATTTAGTTATTGAATAAAGAACTTTGATTATTTATTTCTAGTTCCATTTTTAGGACTATTTTGCCTCGTAGGAACAGTGTGTGTGTGTGTGTGTTGTGTGCAGATATTTTTTTAAAGGAAAGGGATTTTTATAATAATGGTTATTACTGTAACTATGTAATTATAATAATTATTATATTATTAACAGAGGATAAGATTTCTGGTTGACTTCATATGGCCAGTTATGATAAATGGTCTGTTGTTAAGCCAGACTTTCACATTTCTTACACATTTTACATGCATTCCTATTAAATATAAATGTCTCTGTTTTGTAGTCACAAGCAATGAGCAGCACAGCTGATCTATTGGACAAAATTTTAAAAGCAATTGAAGAAAACATTACCACTGAGAATAGTTGCTCTCTTCTTATGGCTCTGGACACATTACTGAACTCTGACAGTACAAAGGAAATGGTATTGAAAGTGATGAAATTTATTTAAATGATATAATATTTGAATTGTTTTAAGATTTTAAAATATAAGCACATTTTAAATGTTGCATGGTTCATTGAAACTAGGTGATGGGGGGTTGGTTATAGTCCCTACCCTTGTGTTTGTTTGGAATTTTTCATAAAATAAAAATTTTTTAATTTCATTTACCACTAAACAGACATACTGCAAAAGTTCAGAATTTGGCAATTTGACTCACTAATTCTAAACATAGTTTGGAACTTAACAATATTAATTGGTACAGTGTAACTCTAGTATTTCTCCCCGTCACTGTATTAAATGTCCTACATATAAAACTTACAGAACATTTTAAATTTTTTAGAATTTTTAATAATCTATTTTTATTTTTATAATATATTCTTAACTCCTTTTTGTCTTCAGAAAAAAAATCATATTTAAAATTGGATTGACTAGGAAAAAGCAAAATTAAGATATTATTTTTAAATGCACTTAATGTTAGTAAGCTTATTGCAAATTATTGGCATTTTGTATTTGTTCAACAAGAAAGATAAAAAATTTCATCATATTTATTACTGTTACATAGAGTATTTGACCTTGTAATGTCATAGTTGATTTGAAAAGGCTGTAGAAGGTATTCATGTAAAGGCCACTGGTGATTTAAAATAATGTTTGGTTAAAAGGATAAGGTTTAGCTTCATGTTCACTATAAAATTCTGTTTTTGAAGAGTAAGCCTTCATAAATAACATGTACCCGACGATTTAAAAAATCTAAGTGATGACATCATTGATCTAGCTTAGGAGTAAGTAGATTCGGAAAGGAATAATGACTGGTTGCTATGACAATGTGGCTCTCACCAGCTGCTGATTTGTTGCTTGAACACAGGGTTTTACGTGCAAGATCCAGGCTCTGCGTGATAAGCTGTGGATCTTCCTGGTTCAGTCTTTCTATGCTGTTCGTCACACAGAAAGCTGGAAGCTGATGAGCACAGATGATCAACAGAAAATCCAAGCAGGTATGTTAGCCTTGAGATTTTTTATTCTTATTTTACGATCTCTGTGACAAGAGATATTTTGAGGGGATGCTAATAAGTGGTAGGATTAATATTGTTTGCTTCTGTTCAATAATAGCTTGCTAATTGAAACTAGTGATAGTATGTTTAGGCAGTTTTAATAAATCATGCTTTGCTGTTCTTGGAAAATGATTCATTTCCTTTATATATGTATTTATCAGTTTTTAATCCTACTCTATATTAGCAGCAATGTTCCAGCTAAATTTGCTTAAAAGCGTTCTTATAAAGAGATTAGAAGTATAGGAAAATATAATCCATGTAGCACATATTACCAAACATACTTTCTCTTCCTTTTTAAATATATTTTGCCGTAAAGCTTTTCCATCTTTTGCATAATATATCATTTCTTGTGGTTTTGTCTAAACTAGATGGCTTTTTCACAATTGATTGGTTCAGTGATACGGTGTGTGCTATTGCGGAGTGTCCCTCAGGAGCCTCACAGTAGTCTCTGACATTTAATAGGTACCATTTGAAACGTTAGCATTAAACAAAAGATGTATAATGCTCAGAATGTATGTTTGTTTCAAAAATATTAAGATAAAAATTTTGAGGGTGTGGAACTAAAAATGGCTTCATGACTATTTTTGGGTTAAAGCAGGTGCCTTAGAAAAAATATTTGCAGATTCAGCAAGTATACTTTTAAAAACATTTTAAGAGACTATATTTTAGGAAGCGAACATTTTTGTACTATAAAACATGAAAGCCCATATGTGATATATTCTTGATAGTACATAGATATGTTAAATTCTTTAATGGGATAGTCAGAATATGATTTGCTCTGTCTTGCATTATAGCATAACATGATAGTGTAGCTAGATATGAACTGAAGAGCACTTTTCACAGAAATTCCAACAAAATAATGAAAGAACAAAATCATGAAACAATGAAAATCGCAAGGTCTTCAGGAATTTGAGATTTTTTTTCCTTATGACTATTTCTATACTGATTTTTAGATGACAGTTTTTACTACAAAAATCTATTCAGTGTGAAGAAATAAGATCGGCATTGCATGAGGTATCATTCAGCTCTCTTCTGATTGGTAGTAAACTTTGTTTTTCTTCATTTTAGAGGATTTCATAGTTAAGTTGTGCCTTAAACAATGTTCTTTATCTTAATTCTATAAAGTGCTAATTAAAAATACATACAAATATATATGTATACATATGTAAAATAAAATGTTATTGGTAATTGTACTAATTGTCAAAAAGAACTTTTCAATCTATCCTATCAGTGTAATAATATTTTTTTTAATCTTCAGTATGTTGAATTATAATGAGTCCTGACTTACAGATAGTTACTGCATTGGGAAACCCCAGATAAAGGAATGATTCTAGATTGTCTTTGTTATAGCATTTCTTATATTCTAATTGAGTTACTGACCTTTGGAAGAAATCTTATATTAATTTTTTTTTTGTATAGGATAGTGCAAAGTCATTTGCTTACTATAAATCAGTCCTTATAATACCATTTCTAGGATCCTGCTTTGTGTTATAGCACAGATCCTATAGAACACAAATAGTAGAAGATGCAATGGGAATGTTACATATAATTTAATATATTTTTCACCAGCTGTTTTAATAAATAACAAATGATTTTGGAGATGATATTTCTTCAAACTATGTTTTAAATAGTTTGAAATATAACCTTCAAAAGAAATAAATACATTAGCTGAACTATATTTATAGCTCTCATCCCATTATCTCTATATATTTTCCTGACGTCATTCAAATTCCTATTTGAAGAATATAAAAACATGAGTTCCCCAATAATTCCCATTTAAACCTAATCTAGAAAGTGAATTTTTATTAATTCTAAAAAGAATGATATAGGTTTGAAGATTGTTTCTTGTTTTATTTTCAACAGGACCTTATTTTTTTCTCTTCTCTTTCCTTCTTCCTCATGATATCTCTGCAAAACCAGGAAATATTTGTAGTTAATTTCAACAGAGTATTTTTACATTTTTTAGGATAGACACTTTCTCATATTTAATGGTTTATAAAATATTACATTTGCCACAATCCATAATTTTTTAAAATTTGGAAAACTAAATGAAACCAGTTATCTCTAAAACTTTACAGCTTGAGAAAATTCTTGTTTTTTGTAAATGTATGAATCCTCTCATGAGATTTTACATTTATTATTAATTTTAATAATATAAAATCCATAGAGACCAGAAAATAAGATTGAAAATGGGGTTCTTTAAAAAAGAAGTTCTAAAATATAATATGGAATTATTTGTGTGTACTAGATTGCTTTTAGCCTTTTTTAAGTTACTTCCATTAAAACATGACCTTTTTCATACGGTTTTCCCTCTACTTTTATGGAAATGTTAGTGTTTCCTATAAAAATAAATTGTTTCTTTCTACAGCTGCATTTGACAAAGGTGATGATCGAAGACTTGGCAAAAAGCCTGTATTCAGCAGTTCTCAGGTAAACTTTTAAAATTTTACAGGTCCAAATGAAAAAAGAAGCTAAATAATTTAAATGTCATTATTTTATATTTCAGTGATTGTTTAAATGTATTCTTTCATTAAGTAAAGCTGTTTCTTAATGAAAATAATTTTGAGTCTTTAATCAAGCAAATATTCTATAAATTTTTAAATTATGTGGATTTTTAATATCCAGCTGGCATAGGAAGTGAGATATTCTACCTTTTTTATTTCCTTGAAAACCTTTTTGGCAACTAACATACTGGAGCTATTCCAACAGATGAGAAGTTGTCTAAAATTCTAGACCTAATTCAATGTCTAATTTTCTAATTAACCTACTTCTTAAAGAAGATTTTAGTTGGCCCAGTTTTCTCTATACTAAGATTTTAATTCACACAGTACATTTTTGGTGTGAAAAAGGCAATCAGTACCAAGAGTATAGTTAGTTGTGTTTTACTTTAAAAGTTACTTGCTGTATTTATATGAGGTATCTAAAGTAGTCAAACTCTCAGAAAAACAAGAAGGAGAATAGCAGTTGCCAGGGGCTGGAGGTATAGGAAAAGGGCAATTTATCAGTGGGTATAGAATTTCAGTTTTACAAGATGAGAAAGTTCTAGAGATTTGTTACCCAAGGTCTATATAGTTAACATTACTGGACTTCCCACTTAAAAATGGTTAAGATGGTAAATTTTGTCTTTTTTTTTTTTTATCCCTTCCCACACACAAATGAGTTGGTGTATTTATTATAATGTGAAACATTTTTCTTCCCCTAAGCATGGAACGCTGCTAGACTCCCCCTTGACCATTCTTAGTTATACTGTACAGTTCCACAGAACATACTCTAAGAAGTGGTAACTTAAGATATTTTTCTCTATGTTCCATGTTATCCCCAGTGTTTTTTTAGGGCCCCCAAGAATTACCCGATCTGCCTTTCTTTCTGCTGTTCTACTCACTGTTATCAACCAGGCTTTTCTTCTTTCCTTGCCTTACAGTGAAAGAGAACAGACTCTCATTGCTCTTCCTTACCTTCCTGGCATTCAGGTTGCCTGAAGGTTTATGCTGTTAACCACAGTGGGAAGAAAACCGGGTAATATGTTTCCCTCAGAAGGGCAGTATACTGAAATGGGTGCTGGACATCGTATAATAAGAATTAAAACCTTGACTTCACTTTTTTTTTTTTTTTTAAATCCTTACCTAGAATTTTATTGGTTTTGTGAGGGAGTGAAATGGAAAATGTGTGGCCTCCATGAGGTCAAAAGGCTGAGTGCAGGGTACAGGTTTCCTGGGGCCTCTCAGCGTCATTTTTTATCTGCCTAAGGTGTTTTTGCCTACCCCTACATAGGGGCGGGAAAGTGTGTGTGGGAGTGTGGGAGGGAAGGCTGGGTGGAGGAAGAAGGCTCCCCAGCCAAGCGCAAGGGATGCAACGCTGCCACCTGGCACAGTTGCCAGGACAGTGTGGCCTTGACTTCACATTTGTTATCTCGGCCATAGGTGAGCTTGCTTGTCTGTACAATGGACTAATAAAACCTAGCAGAATTATTGTGAAAATTAAGTGAAATAATTAATGTGCAATTATTTGGTATGTAGTAAGTGCTCAGTAAGAACGGAATGAATAAATGTGTTTTACAAGAAGAGATGAGATCTGAAAGTGGGAGAAGGTTAATGAGGTAAGACAGATTTAAGAAGAGTGCTGGTACCAGAATACTTAAGGTAATGATGTCTGGGACTTGTTTCAAAATAAAATGGTAGTTATATATGAAACAAAACTGGCCAGGAGCTGATCACTGTTAAAGCTGGATAATAGGTACATGGGGGTTCATTATACTATTCTATCTTCTTTTGATTATGTGTAAATTTTACTACAATAAAAAGTTAAACAAACAAACAAAAAAAGGAATAGTACTGGAACCAAAAGGGTGTCTAAGGGGAATTCTCTTGAGAGTTGCCCTCTTTTTCTCATTTTTCTCAATAGCATGTGGTCTCATATTTGTCAGTAGCATGCATCTTCCCACCTGGCCATTTGTATGTAAGAAATATACATAAACTTCGCAGATACAAGTTAGAGAATGCCTAGATATGTGTATACATTGATCCTCATCATGCTATACTATGTTAATATAAAGTTTCTAAAGGAGTATGGTTACCCTATATACTGCATAGATCTCACCCATAGCATGATGCTAAATTTAAAATAGACAGATTCAAGGATACAGTAAATTAAGTAGATCAATTTTAAGGGTGAGAAGAAGTCTAAAATCAGAAGCCTACCTGATTTTAGGTATTAAAAATAGAGAAAGGTTATTTTTTGAGCTAAGATTTGATCAAGAAAACAAAAAATGAGGACCAAACCTATTTGAACCTTATAAATATTACATAGAATCCTGGAACACTGCACTGAGTAGGACCAGTCTCCACCCTCTAGAAATATAGAATATGAGGCCCAGAGATGTTAATGACTTCTTAAATATCCTAAGTCAATTAAAGATAAGAGACAAGAACCTAATGATTACCTTTATTAGCACTACACCTAGCTTTTCCTTAAACTTAGCCAGGTTATTTATTACTGTGTGTGTGTGTGTGTGAGTGTGTGTGTGTGTTCACACCCCCCATATATGTTATCTTTATCTTAGACAAATTTTTAATGTAAATGGAAGTTTTCTATATTCAGAAATATTAGCCCTTGAACTGTATATCAATATATGCTCAGGTTTGACAACATGCATCACATTTTTTGAGTACCCAGTATGTTATAGGCACAGTTCTAAGGGATAAAAAGATGAAGACAGCACAGGCTTTTCCTCAGACCTCTGCAGTTTCATACAGCTTTTCAAAGGGGGGTACGTATTTCATAAAGAGTGGCAATGTAACCTTAAAGCTTTATTCTGCACTTCCTACCACTTTTTAAAAGGTTGTTATCTCCTTCCATAGCAAGGTTGGGTCTAACCAAAATGATATAGGCACATTGTCTTCAGTGTCTTAAGTGTCCTCTTTTCCTCTTTTTACCTACTTCACCTATTTTTAGGACCCCTTTTCCTCCACTTTCTCCATATAGCCAGAGCTGTATCACTATTTTGTTTTTTTCCAAAAGCCAAACTTTTCAGATGTACTGTCTCATTTCCCAGGGGCTTGCAGCCCCCAGCTCCAAGGATTAAACCTTTAGTGATAAAATTTCTGGCATTTGGATAGGATTGAAGAGACAGTTTTTAATGAAAATCTTTATAATGTCCCTCAAATTATACCATATATAAGCCGGCATTATACTGCCTGCTTAAAGCAGTAAATCATGAGCTCAGGTCCTACTTCCATCCTTACAAGCATGTGACCTTGGTAAATTACATACCGGCTTTAATCCCGTTTCTTGTTTACGAAATAGAGATAGCAACAGGAGCTCTCTCATAGGAGTGTAGTGAGTATTAAGTGAGATAACGTATGAAAAGTGTTTTAGCACAGAACCTGGGAGTGGGCCCTCAAAAAATATTGGGCATTGTTATCATTGACCCATGGCATCCTGACACCTTTAGGTGTTAATCTCTACCATAACTTCACAAAGCTAAATAGTATGCCTTTTTAAAAAAGAATTGCCTTTTAATTTTTTATGCTATATTTCAGATTCAATTAAGGGAATGTGACTAAAGATACATTCAAATGGTCAAAGATAATTCAAATTTTGAGTGGCCCTATATCATAATGTGATCTTTACTTTTTCCTCTTTGAAAAGCTGGCTTATTGAAACAAAGTACTGTAAGTCAAAGACTTCAGTCAAGTTCTAAAGAATTTTTTTCTTCTTTGTAGCAAAGGAGACAAGTTTCTGACTCTGGTGTCATAAAAAACAAATCTTGGAGAGGAAATATCAAGAAGGATTGTTGGAATTATCCCTCTACTAAGCAAAAGATGAAATCTGATGGATTAGGAGCATCTGGACATTCAAGTACTAATAGAAACACTGTAAATAAAACTTTGAAACATGATGATTTAAAGGAAAAGGGTGGTACAAAAACAGCATCTAAGGCTACAAAAGAACTTAAAACTGGGGGGAAGAATGTTTCTGGAAAGCCCAAAGCTATAATAAAGTCCCAAACAGAAAACAGTGATAATGCTAAGTCAACAAACACGTCGCCTAGACAAGCTGTGGAAAGATCAGCAGCAGCAGCAAATGGACAGAAAAATTCATTAAATGAGAAAGGAGTGAGAAATCAGGAAGGGCACATTACAGGTGCCAGACCCAAGGTACTCACTGGGAACTTAAATGTGCAAGCCAAAGCAAAGCCTTTGAAGAGAGTGACAGGAAAAGATTCTCCATGCCTCAGCATCACAGGGCCTTCCAGCAGATCGACCAATTCAAGTATGGAATTACTGATTTCCACTGAATGCCTGAATGAACCAAAAGAAAATGGATCCATAGGAGAAGAGAAGCCTTCTGGTGATAAACTGTCCTTTTGTGAATCTTCAGGACAGACAGTGAAAAACAGTGTGGAAAGTACCAAAACTTCTACTGTAGGTGGGTTTTAGTACCCTCACTTTGAATAGCTCCTGACAGTTAAAGTTCCCAGAAAAAAATGATTCTGTGTTTGGATGTTTATTTAGTTTCAGATGCCAGAAGGCATTTATTTACATGTGTTCATGCAAACTGAGAGAAAACATACTTCTTCCCACATTAACGTTTATTTTTGGATATAGTGTCTGGCCAGTGAATTTATGCATGACTTTTACATATTCAGTGTTCTGTTTCATGACTGACTTTTTCTTAATTTACAGCAGTAAAATCTCGACCTGTTTCAAAAGTTACCAATGGAACTTCAAATAAAAAAGGCATTCAAGAAGAAACTAATATAAGTAGCAGGTAAATCTTCATTAGTTATTTTACCTATATATTAGCTTTCTCTGAAAGTTAATTATATGCTAACTTCTAGCTAAATATTTAAAAAATATCTCTTCTTCTTTGTTAGAGAATATATTTATTTACACAATATTTTAAAACTTTATTAAAAGAAAAGAGTATATGAAAAATGATTATTGATACAAAATGATAGATTACACTTGTGGCACTTGATTATGTATTGCTTTGTCATACTTGACCTGCAGGTTTATAAACGTAAAGTCCTGTGAACATAAGGTTTTTCTATTTTTTGAAAAAAAGATACTTTTTAATTTCTTTGAGAAAAAATATATTTCACATATGAGTTTTTTAGAAGTTCATGTGTTGCTATCTGAGTGCAGTACTGAATGCAAATCCTTTTTCTTAGTGTGCTAAAGAAGGTCACTAGCAAAGGATATAGTGATCCAGTACCACAGGCAGTTTTAAAGAAAAAAGGAAATGGCAGTGGGTGTGCTACAGCTCAGCAGAGGACAAAAAATGCCTCGTCTAATCTTGCTAAAACTCAAGGTAAAGCTGATGTAATCCTGGGTATTACTTCTGTGTTTAAATTGAATAAGCAAAACTCTGATTTGGAACTTTAGCAACAAATAAGAATATAACATGGTTTCACTCATTTTACATTTGTGTAATCCTATAGAGGTTTTACACGTTTACTTTTAGATAAGTATATTTTTTTTTAAAGATTTATTTATTTGAGAGAGCGTGGGCCTGCACGCAGGGGGAGGGTCAGAGGAAGAGTCCCAAGTAGGCTCTGGAGGGCAGAGCTGGGGAGGAGGCGGGCGGATGGATCTCAGGACCCTGAGATCATGACCTGAGCCTAAGCCAAAACCAAGAGTGAAACCCAGGCACCCCTAGATAAGTATTTTGGTATTTCAGGGTGTGGGTTTGGTTTTTATTGTCTTTTATGAGAAGTAATTAAGGGAGTCACTAATTTATCTGTATTTTTGGTCCTTCTATATATTGTGCCCAGGTTTCTTCAGTTTCATTGATAACTATAGGAATTCCATGTGCAAAACCAGCACTAATATTAGAGCCCTTTAAAAAAGTAAGAAACAAACTGAGGGTTCTAGAGGGGAGGGGGTAGGGGGATGGGTTAGCCTCGTGATGGGTATTAAGGAGGGCACGTACTGAATGGAGCACTGGGTGTTATACGCAAACAGTGAATCATGGAACACTACATCAAAAGCTAATGATGTAATGTATGGTGATCAACATAACATAAAAAAAAAAAGTAATGGCACAGTCATGAGAACTGTGATATATAGGAAGAAGAATTTTCCCTCTGTGCTGTGCCTGTTGTTTTGCCATGTTCTAAGAAAGAACAGCATACTGATCAGGTTGCATACTTAGCTGACTTAATAACTGATTTTAAAATTAATTTGCTTTATGCATTAAGCATTCATGTAGGTTAAGAGCAGTATGTAAAAACCTAAAAACAATTTTGAGTTTGATAATGAATTAATACTGAAAGTAAATTTTAAAATAAGCCAGAGAAAAATTATTCATGTTCTAGTAATAACTAAAAATTAAACATTTAAAAAGATTTGGCAATTCTGTTTGATAGTTTTAATTATCATCTCTAGGACTCAACCAGTGTAAACAAATAGATTCTCAAACTTAATCCTTGCCCTCCAATTACCAGTTTTAGTTTCCACTGCACATCTAAGTAGTTAACCCAAATGATCTACAATAATAATGATCTTGTTATGAGAAGTAAATTAGTTTTGTTCATGTTTGACAGAAAAAAAAAAAAAAACCAGTAACTTCAACATTTCTATTTTATATTTAGCTTGATTCTTCTTTCAGCTGTGTGGAACAATCTTTTTTCCCCCAAAAAACGTCAAAGGGAAGACCCTTCCTGCCCTTTTGATATAAGAAAATCAGATTTTTGCACCCTCATTTATTTATGCAAATCCAATTCTGGCATAAGGATCAAGACTCTTGAGGAAGAAAGATCCTATTTAAGTAATTTTGCTAAGATGCTGGAATAGTCCCCCTATATTTGTAATAAAAAAATTTTTATTTTATCATGTTACTAACACCTAATCTTTTGTCCATTTCATAGATATGTCATTTCATTGTTTGTTTTATTTCTTCTAATGTAATTTAAAAACAGATATTGCATTTCATTCACAAATTAGAAAGTGCATTATATTTTTTAATTTTCTTTTATTAGGATCTCAAGGAGAGTCACCAAATTCAGTAAAATCTTCAGTCTCTTCAAGGCAGTCTGATGAAAATGTGACAAAATTGGACCACAATACAACTACAGATAAACAAACACCTAAGAAAAAAATTGTCAAGCAAGGACACACACCTTTGCCTAAGGTTAATGCAAAAATAGCGGCAATGTCTAAAAACTTAAATCAGTCTAAGAAAAGTGAAACTTTGAGTAATAAAGATTCAAAACAGAAAACGCTTCCTGGACAGGTTATATTGAAAACTCAGCCTTCTTCTCAAAGACCTTTAAAAAGTGAAACATGTGTTGTCCAAGAAAATATATTTCATGATGTGCGTGATAATAATAACAAGGATGATATTTCTGAACAGAAGCCTCATGAACCTCTAATTAATCTCACATCAGAAATCAGCAGTAGAGAAGCATTCCAGTCATCATGCAAACCTGACCCACAAAAGCCATTAAGCAATCAAGAGAAAGAGAAATTAGTATTAGAATGCCAAACTATTTCAAATCTGGATAAATCAATAAAGCATGAACTGGAGTCAAAACAGATTTGTTCACATAAAAGTGAAACAGAATTTTCCAGCAAAGAATCAGATCATCACAACACAGCTAAAATACATTGCTTTTCTGATGGGAGTGGTAATGCAGATCCAAAATTTTATAACACCACTGTCCTAGAATCCGTGATTTCAAATCCCAGTGAAAACTCCTTGAACTCTAATCCTGTTTGTGATTTAGACTCAGCAAATGCAGAGCAAATCCATTCAGTATCAGATAGGGAGAAGCAAGGAGGGAAACAAGATATAAACAAAAGATTAAGCATTAAATGTGTCAAAGATGTTTTACCATGTGTTCCTGAAAGGACGAATGGTACCTTAAGTTCTCTCCAAGGTGACAGAAAATCTAAAATTCATGTAGAAGAACAGAAAATTCCTAGTCACTTGTCTGATGACTCTGCTATGAGTGAAATCAAACATGCTACCGCAGACTCAGATATTTCCTCCAGGTGTGTTTTGGAACAAATATCAGGAAAACATTCTCCTAAAGATACGGAAACGACAGAGACTCCAGAGAGCCATGAAACTCCACAAGTTCCATTTCTGAGCCACTGGACTTTGAGTACCAGCCGTCTGCATCAGAGAGAGAGTCCTGAATCTGACACTGGCAGTGCTACCACATCCTCTGATGACATAAAGCCCAGATCTGAAGACTATGATGCTGGAGGGTCTCAGGATGATGATGGGTCAAATGACAGAGGTATTTCTAAATGTGGCACTATGTTGTGCCATGATTTTCTTGGAAGAAGTAGCAGTGATACCAGCACTCCTGAAGAATTAAAAATATATGACAGTAACTTAAGAATTGAGGTGAAAATGAAAAAGCAAAGTAGTAATGATCTTTTCCAAGTTAATTCGACAAGTGATGACGAGATTCCCAGGAAACGGCCAGAAATTTGGTCTCGATCTACAGTAGCCCACCCTAGGGAAAAAGAAAATATTCTACGAGGCAGTGTCCATTTTGCTCAAGAAGTAGATCAAGTTTCTTCCTCAGCAGATGAAACAGAAGATGAAAGATCTGAAGCTGAAAATGTTGGAGAAAATTCCTGTACATCTAACTCAGCTCCTCAGCAGTTTCAGGGAATAATTAATTTGGCTTTTGAAGATGCAACAGAAAATGAAAATCACGAGTTTTCTGCAACTAAAAATTTTAAAAGATCAGTCTTACTTTCAGTAGATGAATGTGAAGAACTCGGATCTGATGAAGGGGAAGCTCATACTGCCTTTCAGCCTTCTGTGAATTCTCTTTCACCTTCTGATGTTTTTGATGGCATTTCTCATGAACATCATAGAAAGACATGCTATTCCAGGTACACACAAGGACGTGAAGGTAGTATTTTAGAATGTAAACAAGATAAAGGCAATAGTGTATATAAAAACGAAAGCTCTCTCTTGGGTCCCAGCAGCATTGACTCATCAAGGAAAGATAAACAGAGTGCTTCAGCCACAGGAAAAAAGTTCACAGTAGATGTCCTGTCCAAAGGAGGCAGACAGCTTCTTCCAGAAGATAAACAAGTAAACAGGGGAAGCAATGTAGGTAATGACTTTCCCCAGCAACATAGCAGACTCTCAGATAATGATATAAAATCTCAAGAAAGACCATGTCATTTGGAGCTTCATCAAAGAGAACCCAATTCTGACATACCAAAGAACAGCTCCACAAAATTTCTGGACTCCTGTCGGAGTCAACTTCTGCCTCAGGAAGGTCAAGTGAAAGAGAACCATTCTACAGCTACCAAAAAAGCTAATATTGCTTTATCTGCAGGTAACGTACAGAAATAGAAATGCTAAATCCATAGGAAAATGAGTTTATAGAATTTTAGAAGTTGTAGGTAGCCCCAAATGTTTTATTTTAGTTAGAATAATTACTTAAGTAACAGATACAGATTTCAAATGAAAACTTAAATTTCTTAATAATATGAAAACTAGCTAGTTAATCTTTATTGTTCCCTTAAAATCCTAGTGCAGAGTTAAGATCTAGTAAAATTTTGGTTATTATTAGAGCTAATCTATTAAGAGATTTTACATGAAAGAATAAAGAGAAAACCTTAGTTTGCTATTATTTAGTTATTTATGTCTAATTTAACATAGAATTCTTGACTATTAGAAATTTCATTATACATTGGATATGTTTTATGGACTATGCTAGTATATATCTAAGAGGGCTGTGCAATAACTATAGTAATATAACTAAAAGCACTGAACTATTTTAACTAGATTAATTATTACAATTTATATGCATTTTACAGAGATTAAGACTTTGAGGATCACTATAATTCTAAAACTTTCAAGTAAAAAGATAAATTTCCTAAAAGAGATTATATTTAGAAGCAACAATAATATATGAAAAAAGCCCAGGCTTATTTCATATGTATAGATGATTTCCTGTCTAATTGTTTTGTGTGTTTGTCTTCCTTATTATAGTAATTTAAACTAATGACCCACATTTAAAATATGCAATAGTGGCTGACTGCATAGCTATTGTATATCAGAACTAAGAAAGACACTGATCAATAGCCCTTGTTCAGCAAAATCACAACAATAGGGGGCTCTTTAAAGTTGTATTTTTTTGTTTGTCCTTGCTTGCATCCTCTTTTGCATGTGCAATATACAAATAAGGCTTTAGATAAAATGTATTTATTCCCCTTTTGGAACTGACTTAAAGTCACCATCAAATAACCATGTCTTTTTTTCTCTTTAATTTCATATTGTAGTGAATTAGATACATGTGCACATTCTATGTTTATGTTTAAATAATTTTTGTTGTTTTCTGTATCACAAGTTTTCAAATTAAAGTATGGAGAATTATTGTTAGTTGCCTATGTTGATTTTGCTGCTAAACATCCTTCGGTGGTGTTTTGTTTTGTTTTTTTTAAATATAGAAAAAGAAATGCCTCAATAATCTTGTCAATTTTGTATAAGTGTTATTTTTTCCATTCTGTTTTTTTGGACTATAACTATTATATTGTTTTAATATTGTTCTACAAAACTCTGAGGGGTACCAACATGTGCAATTTTTACATTGTGTAGTATTATGAATTATTTCAGGAGACATAGATGATTGTGACACACTGGCACAAACCTACATGTATGACCATCGGCCTTCAAAAACCCTCTCTCCAATATATGAGATGGATGTAATAGAAGCATTTGAGCAGAAAATGGAATCAGAAACACATGTTACAGACATGGATTTTGAAGATGATCAGCACTTTGCAGAACAAGATTGGACACTTTTAAAGCAACTGCTCTCTGAACAGGATTCAAACTTAAATATTACGAATTCTGTTCCTGAAGACTTAAATTTAGCACAGTATCTAATCAATCAGACACTACTTTTAGCACGAGACAGCTCAAAACCTCAGGGTAAAGCACATGTTGACACTTTGAACAGATGGAGTGAACTAACCTCTCCCCTTGATGATTCCTCAGCAAGCATCACCATGGCTAGTTTTTCCTCTGAAGATTGTTCACCCCAAGGGGAATGGACAATTCTGGAACTGGAAACTCAGCATTAAGAGTATTAACACTTTGGAAAATTTTGAACTATGCCACCACTTTATTTTTTGATGCTTATATTATATCCAAATAATAATTGGATTAGCCAGAGATAGACTGTCCTTAATATTGAGGGAGTCTTTACAGTTTATTGAGGTAAACATAATTTGTTTATTAATATATCATATGTAGAAAAAGGTGTTTTTCTAAAATTTTTGAGCATGTTTTATTAATTATTAGAGAAATTAGTAGACTTATAAAGAAACCCTTCAGTTTTCCTTTCCTAACTGATCATTTGTTCACTTGTTTATAATTCAAGAATTTAAAATGTTAATGTACAAGTAGATGAGTCCCTTTACTTTTTGCCCTGCATATGGTAACAGTAATTTAACAATAAAAAACATATTGTGCTTGTGTCAATTTATGTAGTTAATCAGTGAGTACCATTCAAACTCAGATTGAGCCTGATAGCTGAATATTAGAAAAAGCCTTCACTTTCCCAACAGTGCAGGTCCAGGAAATTGTGAAGTAAATGCACTTCAAATTTCAGTCACATTGATACTGAAACAGAGAAATGGAATCCCTTGTAACTCTCTTTTTGGGGTATATTCAGAGACAGACATCTGCCCTTGTTCAAAAGAAGTGGGAGAACTGTCCATTTGTTTCACCTATATAGACTTTATAGTTAATCACTCTCTCTTTTCCATTCCATATTAGAGATATTTTGAAACTGTTCCAGCAATAAGCCTGCACTAAATATTAATTTTAAAATGGGTACATGAGGCATTTGAGTTACTGAGTTAAACTGTGTGTGTGTATGTGCACACACACGCATGTATGCTTACTTTCTCCATGTGTCTATATACTCTAGTTCCTTATTTCCTTGATCACATTGTCTTTCAGTCTGTAATTTTGGTAGCAAGGCAAAGATAAAAATCTTTTCTACAAAATGGTACTGAAGAGTGATCACTTCGATACCTGCTTGATATAAGTGGACACTGCTCTTAGGATGATGAAATTTAGTAGAATTAGCCTCTCTTAAAACTATGTAACTGAAAAAAAAAAAAACTATGTAACTAACACATAATTTCTCTAAAATACGTCAAAAGTAAGGAAACCTTTTGGTTTAGATTTCCTTTTCTAAAATAATGGTTTTCAACAAATTAACAATAGAATGAATCTGTATATTGAACATCCACAATCATATTAATGCACAGTCATTTGTTACTGTTGTATAATAACATAATTATATTAACATTAGCCACTAACCTGTTATACCATAAATTTGCTATGCCTTTTTAAACTAGAAGCTCTGTAGGGTGCACTCATTCATTCAGTCAAGAAACGAGGCATTGGTTCTACGCACTGAGGTACAAAGATAAATAAGGCTTGATTCCTGTTTCCCACTCACAAAAAGGGTGTTCAGTTTCTAGTGAGGGGGGAAACCATGTAAGAGAAAGGTTAAAATATAGCATTGTAAGAACATTGTATTTTCAAGCCGGATGGGAATTTAGAGATTAGTCTAATCCCTTCAAATTCCAAAAAATAACTCTGAAGCCCAGAGGAATTAAAAGATTGCCCAAGGTCCCACAGCTATTTCGTGGGCTAGAATCTAGTATTCCTTAATTTTAATTTGATGTTATTTCTACCACACAACATGCTCATTTGATTTTTTCATAAAGCCTGAGAGCAAGTATATTTATAGGTAGTTTGTAATATAAAGAAGTAATGTATGATAGTCAGAAACAGTGCCAGTTCCCAAGACATTGTGTTATTTCCTTTTCTCCAAATGTGAAATTGTTTTATGTGTTCTTTTTAATAAATAGCTCAGAAATTCAAAACTTTATAAATGAAACTTCTCTCCTAGTTCTAAGGTCTTAAAAACTTTCTTCTTAAACTACTATACATTAAAAAGCCATTCAGTTTCATGTCACATCTGCAAATAGGTAATAGGGAAGGCATTTTGCTTAAGTAGTGACCTCTTAGGTAATTTCAGGACATGTGTGTTTTCTTATGCTTTTTGTGCATCTACCAGTCTGTTTGCTGTGGGACTCTTCGGGCTAGTACTTCATGATTTAACAAACACAAAGGGAAAAATAATTGCTAACATTTATTTAGCTCCTATTATATGCTAGACTTGTGCTAAGTGCTTTAAATATGCACTAACATTCAATTCTCACAATAATTATATGAGATTTGTCTTCTTATCATCTTTATTTTACACATGAGGAAACTGATAATAGAGTCCTCACCCTGGATTAGCTACCCTAGTGGAAGAAACTAAAAGAGAAATAACACAACTATACTATTATTTGGTAAGATAACAGTGGTATATGGTCAGAGTTGTGTGAGCCCAGAAGGAGAAGCTACAAACAGCTTGTCAGAAAGAGATTAGAGAAAGCTTCTTAGAGCAACTAATAGTCTGTGACTCCTTCAGAATTTCTATAAAGGGCTTAGTGGCTGCAGTCTAGTTGGAAGTGTAGGCCAGCAGGGGGCTTAGCTTGAAGATGTACTTGTATAGAAAGTACTTTGCTTTTACTTCGATTGTATGTTATAGATCAATAAAAATAGAAATGTCCTTAAAAGATGCTTTTATACATAGTTTATATGAAGTTGCAAACAGTCCAATTGTCCATACCAAAAAAAATATCTTATTTTTATTTTGATTTGGCTTGCTTTGGAGGACTGATAAAGATTATGTAAACAGCCCCTTTATACCATCTCTTGGAGCAACCAGGTAACCAGATGCTGGCTTTCAAGGATGAGGAAGAATTTTCTTGGTGATACGGCATACTGGACACAACAATGCATTAAGAATGGTAACCAGGATGTGTGTTGAGGATTAGGAGGAAGAGTGATAGGAGATAGAGCTAAAGAGCGGACTGGAGTTGGATTCTTAAAGTTATTAAAAACTATGCTATAGTGTTTAGTCAAAATCCTGGATTTAGTGAGAATTGTGTCTCCTTCCACTGTGCATTCCTTTATTTTTAACTCTCAATAGACAAGCTTTCCATGTGTTGAGGAAATAACCAACTACAATCAAAATGGGTAGTCATCAAAGTTGTTTTTTTAAGTAGGTAACAAAACCAGGTGTGTTTCAGAAAGATAACTGTCAGCTCTATTGAAGATGGCCTGGTTTGAAGAAGCACCCACGTCTCAGGATGCAATTAAAAAATAATTTTGTCAACCTTAGAAATTGGAAATGGAGGAGAATCTGGTAACAGAGATATCAGATAGATTGAGATTATAGAACTTGGTGAATAATCAGATGGTGGGAGAAGATTGAAAGGAATTTTATAATTGCTATCAAAAATAGCATTTATTCAGGGGCATCTGGGTGGCTCAGTTGGTTAAGCATCTGCCTTCGGCTCAGGTCATGATCCCAGGGTTCTGGGATTGAGCCCCGCATGGGGCTCCCTGCTCAGCAGGGAGCCTGCTTCTCTCTCTCCTTCTGCCCCTCTCCCCCACGAGAGCTCGTGCTCTCTCTCTCTCTCAAATAAATAAAATCTTTTTTAAAAAATTATGAAATTGTAATGTGTCATAACATAGCTCTGTATAAAGTGTAATCAGTGCATAAAGGAGAGGGAAATGATGGGATGATAACTTGGATAGGCTCCGTTATTATTGTAGGAGTTCACAAGACAAAAGAGGCATACTCTTGGCAAAAGGAGTTTAGAGGCAGTGGGGAATTCTAGTTCCATATGGCTAGAGAGAAGGGAACAGATGGTAAGGGCAAGGGATAAAGTTGGATAGGGAGATGTAGAATCCAGGGAGTAACACAATCAGATTTGCATTTTATTTTCATTATTTTTTTAAGTAGGCTCCATGCCTAGCATGGAACGCAGTGTGGGTCTTGAACTCAAACCCGTGAGATCAAGACCTGAGCTGAGATCAAGAGTCAGACACTTAAATGACTGGGCTACCCAGGCGCTCCAGATATGCATTTTAGAAAGATCACTCTGGGGGCACCTGAGTGGCTCAGTCGGTTGAGCGACTGACTCTTGGTTTCAGCTCAGGTCATGGTCTCAGGGTCTTGAGATCAAGCCCGGGGGGCTTGATGCTCAGCAGGGAGTCTGCTTGGAATTCTCTCTCTCCCTCTGCCTGTCCTCCCCCCCTTCCCCACATTCTCTCTCTCTCAAATCTTAAAGAAAAAGAGATATTCTGGAAGTGGTATATAGAATGGAATGGAGCAGGGTGACAAGGCAGGGAGATCAGTGATGAGTATTCCAGAAACCAAGGCTTGGATGAGAGCAGTAGCTGGGGAGATAGAGAGGTGTGGACATATTTGAGAGATTTAACATGTGGGTTGGAAAAACTTAGTAACTGATGTGGGGATGAGAGGAGGGAGTCATCTTAAAAGACTCAGGTTTATGACTAGGGTGCCTGGGTGGTTGATGATATCATTAGCCAGAAATTGAAGCAAGCTTAGGATGTTTGAGCTGTCTGTGGGACGTTCCAGGGGCTGAGGACAAAATACTGTGGAATAGAAAAAAGCCTGAGAAGGAGAATGAAAAGGAATATTCTGAAGTAAGAGAACTAGCAGGCTAAGGTGAGGAGGAAAGAGTGATTAATGTATAATCTCACTACTAATCAGAAGGGCAAATCAAGGCTAAGAGATTCCATTTGAACCTATGAAACTGAAAGGATTTTTAAAAAAAATACAGTGTTAGCAAGAGAATGATCAATTTCAGATACTCATGCATTGCTATAGGAATATAAATTACCTTTCCTTGTAAGTAATTACACAGTCTATACCATGAATGTTTATAACTTCATATCCTGAACCTAGTACTTTCCCTTCGTGGAATCTCCCATTAAGAAATAAGAATCTGAGACCTAGGTACATTAGTGAAAATTGAAAACTAGCTGAATGTCAACAGTAGCAGAAGGCTAAATAAAGTATGGTACATCTATATAACACATTATGCAATGATTATAATTGTCTCCAAAACATCTGTTTAATTCCAAGGGAAGATGTTTAAAAGAAAAAACCCAAAATATATATTTATAATATCCCAATTTTCTATACTTATATAGAAAAAGGGACTTGAAGGAAATAAGATGCTGATGATGGTTAAGTGGTACTGATGATTTCATCTTTTAACTCACATGTTTTTCATGTGTTCTACAAAGCACAGAAAATTAAGTAGGTTTGTTTGTTTGGGGGTAAGTAGAAGTAGTTAACAGTGTTGAATGCTGTTTGAGATGTCAACTAAGGTGCACACCTAGATTAGTTCATTAGATTTGGACATTATGATTTTACTGGCAGTTTTGTCAGTTGGTGTTTTTTATAGTAGTAGGAAGGGCAGAAAGGTGAGCAGGAGGTAAAGAAGTAGAACTTACCCTTTCAAGGAAGTAGACTGAAAAGGAGACAGTGGTAGTTTGTTTTTAAGATAGAAGTAACTTCAGCACTTTGAAAA